TGTTTGTACTCTAGTATGTATTTAGAAACTATGCATTCATTCACCAACTAAGAATTCACTGACACTTAAACATAATGACAAAATAATTCCTTTGTGGGGCAACTGTGTTTGTGCCTAGTTGAATTATTCTTAGTGCATAACTAAATTTTATTAGCCGATAAATAGTTAGGAATTGTTTCACACTGTGGCATTCACTGTACTATGTAGTACGCAAAAACAAAACTACAGTGTATTTCAGAGGTTTTTGAAAATCACTCTAAGAATTCTCTGTAATAGATTTGCTTTCAAAATCCTGTGACATACACTTAACCACACTACACTTTATTATACTTTTATAACCACTGTTCCTCTCTTCTTTTTTTAAATGTTTATCACCCTTAATTCCACCATAATACACTTATAGCTATCACACTTTTTTTTGTATATTCAGGCTGGGCTGACAGGCTCRAACTCCCGCCAATACGACAGTCGGGTTTTGGCGTCTGTTGGGATCCCTGTGTAGCATAATTTATTTGGTCACGAATCTCATGAATTATGTATATCTTATTGGGTTTTTCAAGTCAGCGGTGATTCCCACAAATCTATAGGGAAGCCATTGTTTTTGCGTTTTGAAAGAGCTTTCATTTAAGACGTTATCCAGCACTATATGATATCTTCAAGCAAAGGAATATTTTTTTAGTAGCTGAAAGTGGTGTTCCGGGATCATTCTTCTTACTGGCGAAAGGTATAGTTGAAATGTAGATTTCTTTCATTTTTGAATGGTTTTAAAGTTTTTTAAAACCATGGGTACCTCGTGTTATGTTTTAACCTTAACAAGAAATGTACTTTGGTATAATTGTTCCTTTTATATTTTCAGAAAATTGTACCAGCTAAACTCGATCGCATGAATCCGATATGGGTCGAAAAGGCCGAACGAGATCAAGGAGTAGCAAGTCCATTGCTCGTGACAAATTTCCTCTCGGAATTCTTGCTCAAAGGCGAAAGGAACTGAAAGAAGAGTTTATTGATCAATCTAAGGTTTATTCAAAGGAAAAAAGAAAGCTGAAAAACCTGAAACAAAAGGCAATTATTTTATTAACCTTAAAAAAAGATACACACCACATAAAACAGCATTTTATTTTGAGGTTATTATATTTGTTCTCTAATCAATATTACTTCAAAAGAAAATTCTCATACACATTATATATTTATCTATCCTATTAATGATCAAAGTATTAATGTTTTATCTCTACTCTGACGAATGTCGAGCTAATTTGTAAAAAGAAAAAAATTAAATTTYAAACTTTCCATTTTAGTGACTATATTCCTTGTAGTCTATAAACATGATTACATGGTACTTGTCATGCTCTTTTAGGTAAAAATGTCTGGGAAGATTTATCAGACAGAAAGAGGTTAAAAAGGAAAAGGAATCCTACCAAACTTAAGCAAGATAATTCAGAGCAATTTTGATGTTCTTAATGCACTAATATCTATTCAGAGAAGGAAAAAGGAAACTTTAGATGCCTGCAGCAATATCCATGGGGGAACCAGTGAAGAAAAGGAAGCCACACTAGATGGTGTGTGGGTAGCATTAGTCAGCGAAGCTACACCAGCCAGGTTAAAAAATCTTGAAAAATTCTTGAAAAATCAAAGAAAATAAGAAAAAAAGTATTGCCTAAAATCGTTAATGACCAAGTCAAATCTTTTGAAAAGAGTTTTGAAAACAAGATTCGCAGTTTAAAAGTTTTGTATGGAAAAGGAATGCTAAGTAAAGAACAATACAAGAGTGTTCGTGCAAACCTGACAATGAGTTGTAGCGAAACTAGCAAACAAAGAACAGCATTGCAGTTCATACCCCATGTCAAATTGCCCAAACTTATGATAAATTGATAGAGTTTGTAAAATCTGTTGACATTGGGAATTTAAAAGATGTCAAGACTGAACTATGCCATGACTTGGAAGAGGATGACAAAGTTTCAGGCTCATACAGAGATCTCGAAAGTTTTTTAATAGAGCTTGCCAAAATGTATGTACACATTGATCAGGTACTTAAAAAGGAATCATTTTTCATGCATTATGGAAGTGAACCATATCACTTCAGGGTGGCAATAGGTGCAGACGGAGCTCCCTTTGGCAAGGACGATGAAGCTACGGCTTGGCTCCTATCCTTCTTGAATGTAGGTGAAATGATTGCAAGTGAGGCGGAAAATTACTTGATTGCTGGAGCTAATTGCAGCGAATCACACATTGCAATGATCAGATATGCAAAAATGTTAACACAAGACATTGCACATATTGAAAGCCAAATATATGTGTTACCTGATGATCAAAGAGTCAAGTTCACTATCGAACTGCTCCCATCTGATATGAAATGGGCCTCTACATTCAGTGGTGAGTTACCCAACTCAGCATACTATTTTCCTCCATTTGGGAGTGTAAATGCTGACAACAAGAATACAGTAAATTGGTCCTTGGGGGAAGATGACAATCGTACTTGGAGACCTGGGAAATACCAAAAAAGGCTAGAAATGGCTACCAAAGTGCAAGAAAAAAAAAAGAAGAATTAAAAAATTCAAAGTATGCAAAAAGCACAAAAAGAAATAAACTGTTGGAGTTCATGAGAAATGTGCATGCAAGGCAAGAATTTCCACCCATTTTGGGACAGTTGGTCGACTATGGTGGCCATAGTCAATTTCAATTCATTTCAATTTTATTTATAAACCCAATTCTAATTTTTTATTTATTTCATTTTTACTTTAAAAAGAACTTAAAAGACAAATGAAATCGCTTTTCAAAATAAAAAGAAAGTGAAATGAAAATCAAAACTAAACTCAAAACCATATTTTAGCGGCCGATGGCTGCCACAGTATCCCAGCATTCATTGCAGCCCATGCTCTAAAAAAGAGGGAGTCTGGAATCTACTGCGAGGGGTTTTCAAAATGGCGTTTGGTGGTTTGCGTAACGACACTTGGAAAGAAGATTCTAGTCTCCCTGAAGATTTGAAAAAATACGTCCAGCAGCTTCTAACACGAAACGAAATTTTGAGCTTTATGAGAAGAGATTATCCAAGTTATTCGTGGAGTAAGCGAACCCTTGACCGACGGCTCCGATACTTTGGGATTTACTACAGTGACGGTGAAATCTCTGTTGATAAAGTAAAAAGTACCGTGCAGAAGGAGCTCAATGGCCCAGGAAGGCGTCTAGGATACCGTGGCATGCAAAAAAAGATTAGGATAGAGCATGGTCTAAACGCACCCTGAGATTCGGTGCATGCAGTGATTTAGACCCAGACGGTCTTAAAGCATGAGCCCTCGGAATGAAAACAAAGAAAAAGAAAGGTCAGTTTACTTCTAAAGGAGCGAATTTTGTACATTCAGTCGACAGACATGATAAACTCATGGGTTTTCAGAATAGCACTTATCCCCTAGCTGTGTATGGATGCATCGACACATCAAGTAGGAAACTTCTTTGGATGAAAGTATGGGTTACAAACTCAAACCCTAATATAGTTGGCCGCTGGTATCTTGAATATCTCTATGAGACCAGAATTATAGCTGCATTCCTCCGTATGGATAAAGGAACCGAGACAGGTGTAATGGCAACCATGCATTCCTTTTTGAGGAATCATCACGGAGATCTGGATGATGCAAGTGACAGTGTTATTTATGGGCCATCTACTTCCAATCAGGTATGCTATAATTGGTTTGGTAACCGCTTGAAATTTAATTTCCGAAATATACACAGTTTTTGACTACATCTTCCCCAATTCAAGTAGCTTTGAAGAAATAAGTTCGAGAAATAAAAAGGGCATAAAAAACATTTATAGTAAAAGTACTTAACTTGAAGTCAGATTTTAATCCTTGCCATGGTGAAACAACAGAGAAAAAATTACTGCAGGGTATAATTACTGTACATACAAAGTACATACAAAGTAAAAGAAGCTCACTTTCAGGCTCATTTCTTTGGTATTATCTATTTTTAGTTAATTGAGCTTTTTGAGTTTAATTAAATTTTTTCTTAAGTTTAAGATTGAGCGATGGTGGAAGGAGTTGCATCAGGGTTCCCACGGTCAGGAAAAAGTCACGGAATTCTGAATTTTTTTCAAGGTCAGGGAATTGTCAGGGAATTTGGATTTTAGTCAGGGAAATTTGCAATTAATTAAAAAGTCAGGGAAAAGTCAGGGAATTTTTGTCATCATTCTCAAATTCTTCTTGGCGATAATATTGTAATTTCACTCCCAAACGAAACTTCCCAAATGTTACCGATTTTCCGATGTATATTTTTATTTATTTGGATTTCCTGTGGTAAAACATGAAGAGATGAGTTGGATACCAGTTGTGGATTTCCAGTGGTGAAACTGGGTACGAGCTTTAGTCGGCCATCTTGGAATGCTAGCGAAGGTAGTGTTGGAATGCTATTGGAATACTATGCATTTTAACTATTTTTATGGATTTATTTTCAATCATTTTTAGCAAAACTTTTAATTATATATATTCAAAGTGTTTTTGTTAAATAAAAGTTAGTTTTTATAGTTTTTTCTAGCATTGGCTAATAGTTTTCATCATTTTAAAGCACTTATAATAAGCTTAATACACATTTGACTTGTTAAAGAGTTAAATTCACATCAGGATTTCGTTTAAATTCATTTACAAGTACGCTTGATTTTTCTTTTTCGTTAATTTGTAGATGAGTAATGCAAAGCGAACTGTATTTAATAAGCTATGTGTAAGGACCCGACCTGATTCGACGTACGGCCTTTTGGTTTATTATGTAGTGAATTCCTTAAAATACAAATAGTGTCAGTGAAAGGTAATGTTACTAAATACGAGAAGCTTACAATACTTACAGGTGAAGGTCGTCCAAAAAGAGAAAAGCAATCTAACTAGATTCCATCGAAAAATAACGTTCACACTCTCACCACGACAGGCAAAGTAACTCTGTGCCAGCACTTAGAAATCTAATTATGTGCATGTTAATGTTCCCAAAGGAAAACGGATTAATTGAGTCTAAAAAATGTCTAACATATTCACGCACGCACGGAAACAAAGAAAAGAAAAAATATTGTTGAGTAGCCTCAACACTATGGCTTCAAGACCCACTATTTGCATGGGTTGCACAAGTGAAATAATCAACTAAAGCAAGGTGTAAAATATGCTCTGTTACATTTGAGCTTGGAAATATGGGAAAACAAGCAATGATTAGTCATGCTAAAGGAAAGAAACACATTTGGAGAGTGGGTGTGTCAGCCCAACAAAACTATCTTAACTCTTTTGTCAATGTTCAAAACCAAGAATCTGGTAACATGGCCTCTTCTACAGTAGAAAGTACAATGACTGTACCGCCTCCTCCCCCTGATCTTCCTGAAGGTGCTGGTGCGTCTGATTCTTCCTCTAAAGGCACAATTAAAAGCTTTGTTATCAAGGATGAAACACTAAGAGCAGAGGTACTTTGGGCCATAGAAGTCCTCATGTCTCTCTATACCTGTAATAGTAGTGCAGGCACTGACAAGTTGTTTTCTAATATGTTCCCAGACAGTCTAATTGCCAAACAATTCCAATGTGGAGCAACAAAGTGTACATACTTAATTTGCTTTGGCATTGCCCCATATTTTCATGATGAATTAATGCAAAAACTTCAAGAACAAGGAACAATGTATGTTATCTCATTTGATGAATCATTAAACAAAGTGATCCAGAAGGAACAATGGATCTGACTGTTCGCTTTTGGGACATTAAAAAGAATAGAGTTGTATCCAGATACATTGATTCCCAGTTCCTTGGTCATACAAGAGCGGTGGATTTACTTGAAAGCTTCAAGTTAGCTCTACAAAAGCTAAACCCTGTCAACCTTTTCCAGGTATCCATGGACGGGCCAAACGTTAATTGGAAATTTTTTGAGGACCTGTTAGAAGATAGAGAACAGACTGATCCAGATCTTCCGAAGCTTATTAATATTGGTGCCTGTGGGTTACATGTGGTACATGAAGCATTTAAGTATGGTGCTACAGCCACAGGTTGGAGACTTGATAAACTCCTTAGATCTCTCTGGTATACATTTTCAGATTCGCCAGCTAAAAGAGAAGATTATGAAGCTCTATCTGGGAGTTCTACGTGGCCACTAAGATTTTGTGGAACAAGGTGGCTGGAAGATTTGCCAGTGGCAGAACGAGCAGTGCTTATCTTGCCAGATATCAAGAAATATGTTACAGAAGTGACAAAACTACCAAAGAGCAAGATACCTACAAGCCAGTCCTTCAAAAATCTGCAAGAATTCGTTCAAGATCCACTTATTGTGTTCTTTATTTGCATTGCAAGAATCCTTGAGCCTTTTTTGAAGAAATTTCAAACTGACCAGCCCATGGTTCCTTTCCTAGAACAAGAGTTGCAAACCATCCTCGAGGCAATGTTCTGCAGCAGCTGATATCACACAAAATGAAATCTACACATTTTTGTGATTCTGTCCTACAGCAGTACAAGGCATTTATAGCTGATGTTGGGAGGTATCATAAAGATGACTTCAGGTCCTATGACCCATCGGACAGAGGTCTTCCTAGCTGAATACTTTCATCAGAAGCCACAGTATGCAGACCTATGGTTAACAATGAAGATGCTGCTCATCATGTCCCATGGTCAATCATGTGTTGAGAGAGGATTCTCAGACAACAAAGACACCATGAGCAACAATATGCACCAAGATACATTGGTTGGCTTTCGCAGAGCTCACAGTGGCATCAGAAGTCTAGAATGTCCTATTGAAGAATGTATCACAAAAGAGCTTCTCACTTCTTGCAAACATGCTCATGGTAGATACAAGTCATGTTTGGCAGTTAAGAAATTATCAGTAGAAATTAGCCAAAAAGTAAGGCTTGAAAAGAAAAATTGAAGAAGACATTAGACATGCAAAACAGAAAAAGCAGAGGCTTGAAACGACAGCTAATGCTCTCGTTAAGGAAGCAGGTAAACTTGCTGCAGATGCAGAAAAGAGAAATGACCTCGGTGTTCTTGTGAAGTCCAATGCCCTACGAGCGAAATCAAGGGAAAAGAGAAAAGAAATGGAAAAGGATGAGCACAATATCCATCGTCTCCAGAAGGAACTGAAATCAGTTTATAAAGGAAATCATCGAAATCATGAGACTGAATGCCTACAAAAGAAACCAAAAACACAATAAAAGAACTGAGATATTTTTCGTTGCTGTTGCTATTGTCCATGTACATTATTTGTTTGTAATTTTAAAAGTTTTTTACCTCACATGGATTAATTAATTATTAATTAAAAGCACTAAATAGAAGTTTGCCACTTGGTCATGGAAAAATTACTTTTGGTCAGGAAAAAGTCAGGGAATTTTAATTTTTGATAGGAGTGGGAACCCTGTTGCATGAGCGATTGGAAAAATATTTCAAGGAACACCTTAGATATCTGAAGGAGCACAGATATTATGACCCTAACAATGAGCAAGACAGGTTTGGAACTATTGTATATTTGGTGTATTTGCTGCCTATTGGATTGTCATGTGCATTTTGACAATAAAAATACAATTCTGTTACGTGCAAGAGCATCGGATTGATACAGTAAAAACCTGAAAATAACCAACTGCATTACATTATATTCAAAATTATGCTATACTGTCAATTTTGGGGCAATAT